CACTTTCACTGCATTCCAATGTCTCACACCCTCAACCATAAGCTAATCCTCAGGTAGAAGGCATTCATCAGTCAGAAATTCTAAACAACAAAATACTAACTGTAAACGTTTCCCATAAAAGCATTGAAGCTAAGTGCATGAACCTGTCCAACTTACAACAAAAGGGGGGTTCAAGTTCCAGGATAAAGGGGTGTCCAAGATATAGGGTATTGTGGATATGTAAAATTATAGGATATTCGCCGGTTCCAATCAAAAGTGTCCAGGATATAGGGGTGTCCAACTAGAGGGGTTTTACTGTATTTATATAAGCTTCAGCTTCGTAGCCTTAATCAAAACTTTTTATTATAAATAATACAGTATTAACATGCAATGCCCATTACTTCGTTAGCGTAATTATTATTAGTCCACAGCAAGCCAGAATAACATTTTCTTACGATGACTTAAAAGATAAAGAATACAACAGACGATATTAAAATTATTCAACATTTGTCATAAATAAGTTTCAAGTTAGTATTTATTATAATCACGTAACCAACAGGAAAGAGAGCCCATGTAACAAAGAAGTATGCAGAAGATGTGAAAGATGAATCCAAGAATGAATTTGTGTGATATTAGTTACGTTTACATGTACCATTACCAAAACTCTATCTTCCGTCAGACTCTTTCATATATAAGAACGCAAACGTATGGCAATATTTAATTTCAGGGCCCTGAAACGTACATCAAAATGTGGTGTGAGTTTTTGTAACACGAAAGAAATTTGTAGGGCTTGACGTATAAATTAATGGCGAAAAAACGAATTTAGATATCAATAACACGTCACAGCTTCAGGAATATGTAATGGACACATCTCTTCAAGAAAACACCAACATATTACCTATTTACCTCTTTGTTTTTGTGCAGATGTCAAACGAAAGGAAAATGCGATTTTGGAACATAAAAATAAAAATTAAGTAAGATTTATGAATGTAAACTGGGTGTTTAAAAGACTACTGGAGAGACAACAAGAATGTCTAAATGAACGTCTTCCTGACATATATAGTATGATTATAATTCAGTATTTGAGGAATTTAAAAAAAACAGGTTTCTATGCACCAGTATCTATGCAAGGTAGTTTACGGTGCCCAAAATGAAACATAAACGCTCCTCCTTACACTTATTCACCATGGTAACGAACAACGTGGAAGTACACTTTCTATTCAATCTTGACGTTACTTTGACGACAATCCCATCAATTTATGCAGTAGTGTGTATCTTCTGAATGGGCTAACCTTGATCGACTTCCGGTAAATCATTTAGCAACAGATGGGTGCAGAGAAAATTTGGAAGTCCTGCTACCTGGTGAGGAACAAGAGTAGCGCCAGAGCAGGCAGGAGCCACCATATTCCTTTCCATTGCGTTGCTGACCCTGTAAGAAAAACAACCATATTATATATTTTAACTAAGAATCGAGAGATATTAAAGTCAGAAAATGTCCGTTTGTTAGGATCCGTAGTACAACATCCTTATATACGAATATGATATTAGGGAAGTCCTCAAATTTGTAAAATACTGAAGATTTCCGTCTTCTGGGTTGTTGCGATGTGTAGTCTGGTCGATATTAACCAACGTTTCAGAAGTCATACTGCCTCCGTCATCAGGGCGATGACGGAGGCAGTATGACCTCAGAAACGTTGGTTAACATCGACCACACTACACAGCGCAACAACCCAGAATACAGAAATCTTCATACTCATCGCCCTGATGATGGAGGCAGTATGACCTCTTAAACGTTG